TTAACACTTTTTCTCTCATCAGCTTGGCATTCTGTGTGGGCTACCATTTTTGCTGTTGAGAAATTAGCTCTCAGTCTTAGTAACTTTTTTTTATGTAGATTTGTGTCTTTTTTCTCTTGCTGTTTTTAGGATCTCTTGTTTTTAGGATTTGCTCTTTCACAATGAACTATCTAGTGTTATTTTTTCGTAATTTGGCTGGGTTTTGGAGTTTTGACTTTGAGAATCAGTTTCACAATGAGGTATCTAGTGTTATTATTTTTTCTTAATTTGGTTGGGTTCTGGAGTTTTAAATTTGAGAATCAGTGTCCTGACATTCTGTTTGAATATTGACTCTCATTCTCTCTGTTCTCTGGAACTCTTTAGTTTTTTAGACTTTCTCACTCTGTTATCTCTCTTAACCTCTCGTGTTTTTCTCCCCTCACCCCTCTGCTATGTTCTGTGCAATTTCTTTAGACCCACTTCTATTTTTCTAATTATCTCTTTATCTTTATCATTGTGTAGTCTGCTGTTTAACTTCTCTATTGTAATTTGAATTATTACAGTTTTCATTTTTAGAGGTTCCATTTGTATCTTTTAAAGATGATGTTTATAGTGTCTCCACTGTTGGCTATCAAGTTTCTGTATTTGTGTAGGTTTGTTTCTGTGTCCTTTCTGTTTGTTGGTATTTCTGTATCTTTGGCATCTGTACCACACCCTGAATTACTATATCCTTAAAATAAGTCTTGATTAACTTTCCTGTTTTTCTTCAAAATTGTTTTACCTGTTCTTAGGCCTTGGGTTTTTCATATGTATGTAAGAATCAGCTATACTACATTTTATCTTTGTTGTGCCTGGCTTCCTTTTCCGAGCTGCTATTTGCTGTGTCAGTATAAAATCCTGCTATATTGGTGTCTTCCAGCTTTAATAGTTTTGATCTTTGAATTCCCTTAGCAGCTTCTTCTTTATGTTTTCTTTTCCTTCCTCTGTCTTCTTGTCATTTTTTTCTTATGGTCATTACAAAAGTATTTTAAAGCCCTGGCCGGGTATCTCAGTTGGTTAGAGCATCGTTCCGATATGCCAAGGTCAGGGCACATATAAGAAGCAACCAATGAATGCATAAATAAGTGGAACAACAAATCGATGTTTCTCTCTCTCTAACTTTCTCTCTCCCTCCCCCCTCCATCTCTCCCTCACTCCCTCTATCTCTCCATGTCCCTGTCCCTCTCTCGTCCTCCCTCTCTTCCCTTTTCCCCTTCTTTCCCTGCTCTCCTCTCTCTCTCTCTCTCTCTCTCTCTCTCTCTCTCTCTCTCTAAATAAATAAATAAATAAATAAATAAATAAATAAAAGTACTTTAAAATTAGTGTAGTATATTGGGGAGGAGAAAGCAAATAATAGAAAACTATATAAAGCAAAAGGTACAAATCCCTCTGATATTAGTTTGCTAAGATCTTTCAGAAATTTTTCTGAACATGTACAAATGTGTGTTTATAAAAGTAAAAATTGTCATATACATACTGTTTTATAGTTTGTTTTATTTCATTTAGTATTTAAAAATGCATTCTTCTATAGCTGTAACACATTCCTTTTAATGATTGAATTCCTTTTAATTTCATATGTATATACAGTAATTGAACCAGTTCCCTTTTTATGGGTTTGTAGATATCTACCTACTTTTTGATCTTGCAGCTTTCAAATACTGCTGATCCTAATCAGCAAAGTGGAGGTTGTGCAGTTTATTTCACATTACCTAAGGTCTCTCCTCTTAACTCTTTTCAAGGGTATTAGTGGGGTTCTGTCAAGAACTATCTTCTTAGGGCACTGGCATATACCTTTCTTAAGAGGGAAGAGTTGATAGTTAAGCTTGGTATAAACCTTTAGTTTGGTGCTATGTGTATTTTACTAAAAAGAAGTACTCAAAGGTGTGTGTTTGTTACATGTGGTATCCTAGAGGAGATTGTTTGTGGTGTAGTGTTAGAGGTAGCACCCAGATTGAAGAGTACAGAAATGAATGAGAAAATGGAGATGGAGAGCTTAAGCAGGTCTTTGTCGCAACTTGACTAGGAGATGGTAGGGGAAGAAGAGAGGCAGTTCTTAGCATTTTGTTTTTTGTGGTATTTTGCCTTTTGAAAGAAGTTGAAGTTGGATCTCTATGTTATGTAATTTGCCATTTTCTTAATTTTCCTAGCCTCCACCAGGCAACGTGAAAATGCCGAATGTACCCAGTACACAACCAGCAATAATGAAACCAACAGAGGAACCTCCACCTTATACACAGATTGCAAAGGTTAGTTCATGTTACATTTGCAAATTCATATGGAAATTACAATATCAGTATCATTTACTTCCAGAGCTAAATAATTTTTTAATTGTTGCATTCCATATTGTTTACTTTTTAACTTACTTTTGAGTCTAGGTTAGCCACCTTGTAGACTCTATAATGCTCACATGTCTTTTTCAGCTTATAACATTTGCTTTATTCCATGATTAGCAATTACTGAATTTATTACCTTGGTATAGTATACAGTTTTTATAGTGAACATTTTATTGCCTTTGGTATCACTTTTTAATACACAATGCCATTACAGTAACAATGACAGAATAATAAATATTACTGGAAGAGAGAGTTATAATGGCTAAGCAAGAGACATTGGTAGGAATATGAGAAAAATACAAGATAAAAGTAGATGACTAGGAATGCTGCTATCACATAAAGGCAGGTGGAGGTATAGATCAGAATTTCTGAACCATGTCCTTTCATGCCATTATTTTATAAAATATAAGATGTTATGAGTTCTTGCGTTGAGAACCTTATATGCCATTTAATCCAATTCATAAGAGTCAATTCAGTTGCTCTTTTCTCCATTTGTCTGTTTTCCTCAACACTTCCCTTTGTCTTTGTTATTCACTCATTTAGGCACAGTGGTGACATCAGCTTATTTTCATTTTCTGATTGCCTTAGGACTCTGACCACTCTTAGGATTTTTTCTGTCCTAATGTGCCCAATATTCCCATGAAGGTTTTCATAACCAAAAGATCAAATGGATCAAATATCTATATAATATTTTCTGAAACTGAAATCTTCAGTAAATTCCTATACTTTGGAAGAACATTTGAATTAGGTTTCTAGCATAGTAGAGGGAGAAGAGATAGCATATCAATGTTTCAATATTTTATGCTTATGACAACCTATTCACTTACTATTTTTTGTGTAGGAACATGCCTTGGCCCAAGCTGAACTTCTTAAGCGCCAGGAAGAACTAGAAAGAAAAGCTGCAGAATTAGACCGTCGAGAACGAGAAATGCAAAACCTCAGTCAACATGGTAGTATCCAAGATGCTTGAAATAAAAATAACTTTAAACACTTTAAATAATGTCTGCACTGGCTCTAGGTCATTTTGTTTGTGAATAAATTCTGCCCTGTTTTCCATTCTAACAAGGAGATCAGACACAGCAGATATTCTACTTGATACTGTGTAGCTCTTTGAAATTGGCTGATTTGCATAGTCTTTTGATAGATTAGAACAGTGTTAGCCTTATCACACAGAAAGTGAATTCAAATATGATAATTTTGGTTTATTCTAAGGCCATGAACCTTTGATTATGCACTTGAACTGTCTTTGCTTCTAATGAAATTTTACGAGTACATGGGAGTGTGCCCTACATTTGACTCTTCTAGTTTAGTTAGCCTACCAGTATTTTCAAATGATTTATCCCTGTCCTCACAAGTATTTTGTATCTGTTAAATCATGTGAAAGAAATAAGTCTGTGGTGACTCTAGAAACTTTAGGGTATTTTGATGATGCCAAAGAAATAAATAAATGCTGAATTGATTATTAGCTATGAAATCTACTCAGGCTATTATTACCAAAGGCCACTTCAAGAGAGTATTTTAGGGAAAGCTAGCAGTCTCTGGGTATGAAGGGATAAGAGAGCTAGACAGGACTTGAGTCATTGTTAGTATGTCTGGGATAGTGATGGGATGACAAGACTAGGACAGCAATAATAAATTATCTCTTTCTTACCTTAGAATGTGTAAATCCAGGGGCTCCTGAGGATACATTTATTATGGGCCATTTTCTTATTTGCAACAACAGAGACATCTCTAAAAGGAGAAACTAAAGGTGTAATTGAGATCAACGTTTCTGAAATACCTATAACTAAAAGCTATCCTATTTCCTTAGCATTGAATAATACAAGTTATTTCTATTAGAGATATTTTAGTAAGGGTTGTAATGAAGAGTGGGAAATTAAGAGTTAGATTTGTAGTATGTTATACTTTTAATCCTCAATACAGTTCTCTGAAGGGTGGTATAGTTGTTATTCTCATTTTTCAGATATAGAAACACAGTCTTTAGAAGCTTAAGTAAGTTGCCCAAGGCCTCCTAGACAGTAAGTGGCCAGGCACGTCTGGTTTCAAGTCCTGTTCTTTACATTTGTGCTCTGTTGCATCTCACATAGTGTGAGACTTGTATGAGAAATGCATGAACTACATGAAATTAGAAAAGAATAATAACCGTGGAGACGTGTGGGAGGATCAGAAATAGGTCTTGCTTTTTTCTGCTATGAAATTTTTTCTGGCCTGGAAAATCTAATTTTAAAAGGTTGTGAGATTATCATATCTAAAATGATAAAATGGCCTTTAGATGTTATTTTTACTCTCTAATATTTGACTTCTTGCTTTAATTTTATATTTTCCTTACTGTTTCCTTATTTTCAGTCTAATTGCTTTATATAGACCCTTTACCTTCCCCCTTCACAGTTTGAATTTGTTTTTTCTCTAGGTTTTTGAAGGTGCTATAATTCCTTAGCGTCTTTCTCATGACTGTTTCATGTTTTCTTATAGTTTTGTAATTTTACTTATATGTCTTTTGGATTTTTTTTGAGACTTTGGGATTTCTGAATTTGATACTTTTGGTATTGGTTAATCTTGTGTGTTTTTTTTTCATGGAGTTAACAGTAGAAAATTCTAAAGATTCAAAAGCTTGGTCTTCCCTCTCCACACGGGTTAGAAATTATATTTAAAGATGTAAGACACTGAGGAAGAAATTGTAGAGATTTAAAAACTGCATGACCTGCATGTGAGAGCCAGGACTTTGAAAGAAATTTTTTAGGGCAGAGTCACAGGGTATGTGTCCCTATGCTCTTTTTCCTTTTCTCATTTCAACTGTGCATAAATGGTTCCTACTAAATATTATATGACCCTGGAAAATTATTTTACCATCCAATGCTTTAAAAGATATAAAGACTGACTTTTAGAGTTCTCCAAGAATGTAAAGAATATAGTGTTGTATTTGTAAAACACCTATTAAAACAATAGATATTGTTCTTTATTCTGAAACCAAAAATAAGAATAGCACATATTTGTCCTAATATAAATAACTTTTTTTTTTTTTAAATTTTGCAGGCAGAAAAAATAATTGGCCGCCTCTTCCTGGCAATTTTCCTGTGGGACCTTGCTTCTATCAGGATTTTTCTGTAGACATTCCTGTAGAATTCCAGAAGACAGTAAAGATTATGTACTACTTGTGGATGTGTGAGTACAGAATAAATTATATATTCAATACATTTTATATTTTATTGTCAAAACTCACCTTTTTTGGAACTCATATTAAGGATAGTATCATTAATTGGTCTTTTTTTATAGATCTTCTAATTTTCAGAGTGAAATATATATTTGGGTACTTCAAAATTGTACTATATGTGACAATCTAAGTTCTTAGCTGAAGAAAACCTATATATTAAGAACTGGCATTCTCTTGAGGAAAGGTCTTTTCTGTTACATAGGTAGAATTTTGCAGTTATTTCTTTTCCTTGAAAAATCTTCTCTGGGCAATATTTACTTTGAAAAAAGTAGGCATATATTTTTATGTAAATGAAGGCCATTAAACATTCTATTAAAGCATTGTGACTATTTTTAAAAGGGGCTTAAAATATTATTATAAACTTATTTTTCTTATAGCTTTGAGTACAATTTATACTTCAGTTTCAAGTGGGGATGAATACTAATATTATTTAAAGTACCTAATTAATATAGGAGGTTTTATTGAACAGGACATTAGGACATACATTTTATGTTATGATGCTCACATTGCTTTGAGTATAATTACAACTCATGGTATACCATAATAATATGTCAAGCTGTTAATAGTTTGCTGTATGTACACAGAATTTCCACTTACTCTGTTTCATTTTCATTTCAGTCATCTCAGTCCCATTTAATATCATCATGTCAGTAGGAGAGGTAACTTCTCACCTGCACAACCTCTGGGTTGATGGATAATTTGTAGGGCGCATTCTTGATGGAGGAAATTTGTGTGTTTTTACTGTATGATCAGGGAGCTTTTCCCCCCTTCAAATATGAGGTAATTTTCCTCAAAATCTTTTAGGAGCATTCTTTATATAATGTGAACTTGCTCTGGAATATGAGAAATGATTCCTTATGGATAGTACATTTTTAACCCTCATTTTGTGTTTGTGTTTGTTGTTGATGTAATATATTTTGCTGAATCCCTAGTATCAGCAAGGATTATACTAGTATATTGTTAACATTAAAGGTTTTGATTCTGTGTATGTACATGCTAACCAACTCATATTTTATTTAATCAACACAATCATATACATTCAAATATATAATAATTATTTTTCAATGGGCAGAAATTGGCTTAGCATTTTAGGTATATGTTCTTTGGCTTAGTGAAAACCTATTTTGATGGTGGAGATGGGGGTTGGAAGAAAACTCAATAAGGAATTTAGTAAATAAAAATTGAATGGGGAAGATGATTAATTTTAACCCAATGATTAACTGGTTTCCCAGTGCCAATTTGTTTAAAATAGGTCTGTTTTGTCTTAGAAATATATAACTTTCTGAGGTTCTTAGAAATGATATAGTTGGCTATAGTTTTTCCTAATCCTAATCAATTGGCAGATCTGTTAACTGTATTCAAACAGGGCCCAAGATTCCAGTTAAGGTTCTTATTTGAAGAAGCATTAACCTGGAACAAAGTGAAATCTAGTACCAGCTCAGTAATGCCTCTAAATTTCATAGAATAGAAGTATTTAAATAAGTTCTTTTTAAGAAGTGTCCACTTGTTACTGATTTTAGAGTTGACTAATGCTTTTACACTGTAATGATAATTACAATGAGCTAACATTTATTGAGGATTTACTTTGTGCAAGGCACAATGATAATCACTTTTATGTACATTGTGTTTTAAATTGTAACCACACTATGAAGCAGGTACTGTATTACTTAGTTTTATAGGTAGGGAAACTAAAGGATAGAGAATATGAGTTACTTGTCCAAGATTACACAGGAAGGAAGGTTGGAGTTGGATCGCTTGACTCCAGAGCTCAGAGTCTAGAGTTACATGTTATACCACCTTCAGAGTACCAAAAATGAAGAAATAATTGACATTTTAAACCCAAATACGACAGATATGCTTTCAAAGATACCTTACTTAAAGTGCTTAGTAAAGCAAATTGAAATTTTATATGAAGAAGAGTCATTCAGCTTGCAAATGAGGTCAACAAAATGGACTAAATATTTCATTAGTATTCTACCTACATTTGGAATCCAACAAGTGGTTTGGAATTGGATAGAAATTAGCAACGAAGTCATTCATTTCACATTACCTTGCCTTTCTGTGTGTGTTTTGATCTCTATAAAGTGGACCAATTGTTTAGTAAGTAGGCCTAAACATTTTACTCTTCATTGGAGTGCAAATAAATGACTTTTTGATTATAGTTGTTGGTTACTATAAAAACACTTTGAAAAAGATCTTAATAGATTACACAAACTTAAATTGATATCTTTTATCTAAACCTGGAAGAATTTCTGTAAACTTTAAGATACTCATATCCATATATTTTCTTTTTTAAATAGATTAGTAGATAAACCTTTAAAAATTATTTCTCTAAAGGTTGATATTTGACTTAGAACAGTGATGGCGAACCTATGACACGCATGTCGGAGGTGACACGCGAACTCATTTTTTTGTTTGATTTTTCTTTGTTAAATGGCATTTATATATATAAAATAAATATAAAAAATATAAATCTTTGTTTTACTATGGTTGCAAATATCAAAAAATTTCTATATGTGACACGGCACCAGAGTTAAGTTAGGGTTTTTCAAAATGTTGACACGTCGAGCTCAAAAGGTTCGCCATCACTGACTTAGAATGTTCTGAACATTTAATACTTTTTAAGGCAGTTAGATGCCATTTTAGTGTTACAGAGTAATAATTTTCTATCTCACAATCTTTCGATTCTGTTTTTAAGCCCTCCTTAACAGAACTACTTTTATTTTGAGGCAAAATATTTT